AAGTACTAGAAAATTCCGTGAATACTACAATACATTATTTAAACAAATATTCTCCTCTCACCATCCAGAACTTGACTATCCTCATAGCCCCACGAGGTAGATTTTCCAGATTCAACAACAAAAATACATTCTGTCCTGCTACATTTGAATGCCAGTTAAAGGATGAGTTGGGGGTTTGTTTAAGTGTAAGTATACTCTTTGCAATGTTTGAGATATTTCATTATTTAAAAACACATCATTTAGCTGATCGTCAAGTTTAACTGGGCATGCTATTTTTTTTTTAATAAATCAATTATACATTTATTGATGGAATTATACTGCAAAACAATCATAACAAAGGAACAATCTTTTTGAGTAAAATGGTTTTGCTTACTAGTTGAAACATTTTTTTGAAATATAACACGCAAAAAAGATGGTCAAATATGTCATTATAGAAGCCCTTGGATTTATATAAAGTTATCTTAGCAATAATTTTCACAAAGTCCACTCCATATCACTTGAAGCAATGGTCTTGTGTGTGTGTGTTTTAAATCCTTGTTTCTCAGAATGGTGAACCATATTTTAGCTAGGCTTCTAGAAATCGGTTAGCTGAAAGTGAGATGTATCTAGGAAAGGTTATTTTGGGCCAATGGGTGAACAGTTATCTTTAGTTATAAATGAAGGTGATAGACAGTTTAGCTTTTGAAAATAGAATGGTCTATTCAATACTATATTTCTTTGATAAAGTTTCTTTTTGGTTCTTGCTGGCTTAATTTCTTCTCTCAGATTTTCGGGAAAAGACAGGGGTATGGGTGAAATAGGTATTGGGGACCTTGTTGGAAGACATCTTGTTGAGACCATTTTAACCAGTGATTGAGTTGTTTGGGCACTGCCAGCCTTTGTTGAGAGTTCTTGGCATAGATTTAAAATGGAGCTTTTGGGATTCTTAAAGTCATCATAAGTTGCAATCAGCTGTTTTTTAGTGGATGAACTTTTTAGAGATGTTGGCCTAGAATTCCATCTATATTTTGCAGCATTATTCCAGTTCCATTTTGAAGCACTTTGTTCAAGTTTGCACGAATCAGAAGTGTTTTTTCTTTTCTCCCTATTTTTATCCACACAGAGTGCCTGAAGATTCAAAGAGTCAGAAAGTTTTGGCTGCCTCGCTTGAGGTGCAGCTTTGGAGGAGGCCGGGCATTCAGGAACTATCAGAGGACTTAAGTTAGCTTGTAGTCTCTTCTCTTTTTGTATCGTCACGTGCTGTAGTCGTTCCATTTCCAGTAAACGAGTTATCTGCCATCATTATAGTGAGATAGGCTCTCATTGGATCAACATCTAACCTAGTCTGTTATTAATCTATTAGCTTCATCCCTCACTGTCACAGAGTCAATTCTGAAAAATGGTGATCCTATAGAACAGAGATGAACTGCCCCTGTG